TTGGTTAATTCATCCGGTACTTTCCTATCAGTAAATGACTGACAATGCTGAAGTTTTTGTTTCAGTAATATAAAGTCAGTATTTAACTGAATTTGAACTTTCCCACTGATTGATTGGACTGTAGTATTCAACTTCTGTTCATACTGTCAGCTCTTCTAATTCTGCGGATACTTTCGACGATGTCTACGTATTTACCTTGAAGTAATTTGATGGATTATGACCAGTAGTGGTAGAATCCTTTGATTAACATCTATCCCCAACTGGAACTCTTCAGTTGGATGTATCTGAATTCCCCAGTGAGAAGGCGACAGTGTTCCCATTGAAGCGAGAACCCAGTATCTATTGTGTTTCAAACGAAAAAAAAGCGTTATCCACTGGGCAAGCCACTTGGGCCACGAGAGCTTTTTTTCCTTCACGTTCCCAGTGGAACATAGCGAGGGCTTCAAGCTAGTGGCTTAAAGTTTCTGTAACAGTATTTATTTAACAGGATGGGGTTGCTAGCCACCTCATGCCCAACCTTTCCTCTTTACCAGCATTATTTCTGGCTTGATGAGGTAAAGGAGTGCGTCGGCCGGTGATCGAACCCCGGACCATGTGCATAGTCGGTGAGCGTCTCAACCACTATGCCACCAACGCTTTGGTGTTGAGAAATAATGGTCACTGGGTTTCAGTCTCAGTGGAAACACCATCACTCACCCTTACAGTTGACGAATCCAAAACGGGACGAAATAATAATAGCTTTATTCCAAACAGTATTTGTGGTACAGGTATGGAATTTTCAGCGTGCATTACAATATTGCATCTAATTACCTCATAAATTTTATAAGATTTTAAAAAATAAAAAGCAACAACAACAAAAAGACTAAAAGAGAAATAAAGGAAATAAAAAAAGAACAGCATTGCATTCACATATTTAAACAATGCACCACAGGATATGAAATATAAAATTAGGGTGTAATAGAATATGTGAGCAACAATATAATAGTAACAAAGAAAGGAGAACAAAAGCTAATGGGAACTATTTGTTAGAGTGCCGCAGTAAGGTGATCGTGTCATGCCTAACAGCTTTCTCATCACATAACAGCTGTGCGTATTCTGAATCCCACGCCACTGCTAGTTACTATCCACCATGTATCGAGTTGGCGTCGGTGGTATAGCGGTTATGATGCTCGCCAACCATGCATATGGTTCGGGGTTCGATCCCCGGCCGGCGCACTCCCTTACCTCGCTAAGCCAGTAATAAGACTGGTAAAGAGGAAAGGTTGGGCATGAGGCTAGCAATCCCATCCTGTAAAAAAAAACACTGCTACAGAAACTTTCAGGCCTACAGCTTGAAGCCCTATGTTCCACTGGGAACGTGAAGGAATAAAAAAAAATGTATTGAGTTGTTAAAAATCTATAGAATTACTGTTCAAAAACATCTATAAGCGATAATATGCCTCAGAAAAAATTTATTTGCAAATCACTTAAAGCCGAGAGAGGAAACTATCATACCATGCTGGATGATGTTCAGAATACCTGGCGATGAACATGCCTAAGTATACAACACCAAATATAACTAACTCCATAGAAACAGGGGAACTGGTGAATACACATAGTAGTGTCGAGGTCAAACATAAAATTGGAATGATTTCCTAAAGAAACTGTGTACCAGTGTTGCAGTGAGTCCTCTTTTTATCGAATTCTTTAGGCACTATGTTATTATTTGACTAATGTTGTTACTAAAGGACTGTAGTCTTAAGAACAAGAGCGTCTTTGAAACTGTTGACATACTGGGTGTTGCTTGCATTAGTATTAAGATTCATACTTTCTAGATAGATATCCATTTTTAGGTATTGGTTTTGTAGGGATTTTGTTTGATTGATTGGAGGATTTCATCGTTGTCAGCTGACAACAGCTAGAGAGTCATGGGAAAACCAGCACTGGAGTACTGGACAGTTGGCAGTTCCATCCTAGTTTGTGACTTTTCAGTGGTACGCATCCTCCGACAGAAGTTAGAATTCATGGTCTGGCCATAGGATCGGGTCACAGTGGCTTAATGGTCTACGTACGAGCCAGCTAGCTTTGTAACGAGAAGTCCCTGGGTTCGAAACCTGGTTGTGGGTGAGTACTGCTGAAGCAGAATCGCAAACTAGGATGAAACAGCTGTCCATTTATTCCAGTGCTGGCTTTCCAATGGTTCTTTAACCGATGTCAGCTCATCTAGATGAAATACTCCAACCAATATCCATTTTTACTAAGTAATTCCTCATTGAGACCGTTAGTAGAGAAGATAACTCTAACTCTATGAACCTGACACTATTTATTTTTAACTGTGTTTCTATTTTATGAGTACAAAACTCATTAAATGAGTGTACTAAAGGTTGTGCGTCGGTGGCATAGCGGTTAGGACGCTCGCCGACCATCCACATGGTCCGGGGTTCGATCCCCGGCCGACGAACTCCTTTACCTCGCTAAACCAGAAATAATACTGGTGAAGAGGAAAGGTTGGGCATGAGGCTAGCAACTCAATCCTGTAAAAATTAGACACTGCTAATGAACCTTCAAGCCTCTAGCTTGAAGCCCTATGTTCCACTGAAAAACGTGAAGGAAGAAAAAAAGTCAGCCAGGTGGCGTATCTGCTCTCTTGAAGGAACTCGTGTCCCTTCCCAGATTTGCACAAGCGCCACCCTCTCCCCAGTGCTGCTGATCGCCTCCAACTATCTAATATCATCAAATCAATGTACACCGTGATGGTGAGCCACACAGAATAGTGGCCACATTGCAAACTTTGACTGATAGAAGTCAGTCTGCACCAAAGAAAGGACTAGATACACATTACACTAGTTAGCAACTAGTGTCCAATCAAAAATATCCAATACAGTCCTACAGGAGGAGGTCAACCGCTAGCCTGAATAGCCTTCAGTGGTAACGTCTCTGACTGCAAGCAGTACTGGGTGACACGGGTTCAAATCTCCTCAGAAGGGAAATGAGTTGTTCCTTCAAGGTTTTAGATACGCCACCTTGATGACTGGTGAGTGCCAACTAGCACGAAACATAGGTCAGGCAAGGCTCTCTGTGGCCGATTGCCTCCAACCACCTAAATTTGAGTGGAAATATTAACAATAATATTCACGTTAATTGGTGAATGGTGACTACCAGTGAAATACAGGATGCGCATTTCGTCCTATTTGAGATTCGTCACCTGTCAACCTGAGACCGAGCACTTCGATCCAATCAATCGACGAGAAAATCTAAAATTGAATTAAATAATTAATATGACTCGTTTCACAAGACGTAGTGGCTCTCTTGGCCCAAGTGGTCTAGTGGATAACGCTTTGGTGTTTGAAACTATTAGCACTGGGTTAAAGCCTCGGTGAGAACGTCACCACTCACTGCGGAATACAGATGCATCCAACTGACGAGTCCCAAATGGGAAGAAATGCGCGTTGTCCTAGATTCCACCGCTAGTCACCATGCACCAATTAACTTCTAATTACATGTCCAGACATGGTCGAAGTATCTGCACAAGAAGTCGACATGTCAACTTGAGATTGAACACTTCAGTCCAGTCAATTGACGGGAAGATCTAGAATTGAATTCAATATGCACGTTAGCGGAAGAAAGAATTAAAAGGGCCGGCTATTTAGTGTTACTCAGTAAGTTTCACCTCATCATGTAAAATGTATGCCAAATAGTAAGGTATCCTTCGACTTCGTCGTCCAAGCTTCTGCTTCCAGTCCTATCTGATGACATGTAGAGTGGTGGCGATTTGTGTACAGAAAGGATGCTAAGAGTCTGACAAGATAATATTCACCAATTTTTTATTTTGCATGAGTTCAAGTTTCTGTCAACAACAGTATTAACACTTTGGTTTAAGTGGTGCCCCACTCCCCCTCCCCGAAGGACAGTTTTCAGTGCCCTATGCAATGTCACAAAGTCTTTCTTAAGTAACCCACAATATATATACATATAAATTAATCTCATGTCCGGTGGTGACTACTTAGGAGAAGAAATTGGCTGGAAAGATGGGGCTACCACGTCAGTCGGGCATGAGGACAAATACACACCCTAAGATTACGAATTTATAGAAGTAAGAATTCATGAACCGGCTACTGAGCCATGCTCCAGTGGTTGAATGGTCCATAAATTCGCCTTGTAATTGGAAGCTTCTGTATTTGAATCCCGGTGGGTGCGTACCGATGAAGAGTCCCAAAGTAGGACGAAACTGTTGGTTAGCCTTCATTGATTTCCTAACCAATATCAATCCGTAATCAAACTATACATATATGTATATATATATATATATGTATATATACTACCATGCTATGATTAATTTTCACAAACATTTATGCTTTCTAGTGGTCCGAACAACTTGATTTAAAAAGCGATACAAATTATCCACACACACATACATTCATGAAAGCCACTTATCGCTTATTGGTTGAAGTATCATTATTATATTACTATCTACTGAATTTTGATTGGTCACCAGATGAATGAATGCGAACAAATAAATCTGTGATGTGTGTATGCGTGTGTTTATGCATACAACACGAGGACCAATTAAAAAGCTAAAACGCATCGAAATGACTCCACCAATTAGAAAGCCAGTGACTTCTGATTTATCAGAATAAACAATGTTTGCCTTTAAGCAGGGAAGGGGTAGAGGTAGGGTAGCAGCGTAAGGTAGGGGGGAGGGAGGAAGGTCTATAATGTCAGTGTAATTTTTTTTTTAAGGTTAGGATATTCGCTTCACTTTGTAATTTTTGTTTGTTCATATAAAATTTAGCATATATACATATATATATTTGGTATGCAGAAGTGAGATTATAGGGAAGAAGTTATTTTAAGCAGAAACAAGGCACAAAATACTAAGTATAACTAACTATTATATGGGATATTCTGAATTATCATTATTATTATTACTAATACTACATATTTACGTTAACTAAACCTTGTTGAACGTATTGAACACACTGAATTTGTGGAATACTAACTCTAATTAATTAATATCTATCATGCAACTTAATGGATTTTCAAATTTATCCTCCACATTGATAAGAATGAATGAACAGCACAACTTTCATGATATTCATAATGACAGTAATAATAATAATAATAATAATATACATAATAACAATAGTAATAACAGTATCACTATGAATAACACAATAACTGAAAATTCAATTCCTCCAAATGTCACACCAGTGACACCGTCATTAACATCAATCCCTAGCATGCTATTACCGCCTCATAAACAACTTTATGCCTTATCGTCATCATCGACGTCAGAGACATTAAATTATTGGAATGCTAAAGATACTACAAGGCTGACAAGTTTGAAACAACATTTTTTGATGCGTGATAATAATAACAACCCGCGTCGTCGAATCGATGATGAAGATAATGATGATGATGATAATGAGAATAATGATGACGGTCATCGTGGGAGTGGTGGCGGTGGCCGCGGTGACGATGATAATGGTGATAGTAGTAGCAGTATTATTATTGATGAAGATGAGGATTTCCATGGTAACAGCAATAATAATAATAACCATAATGGACTAAATGTGGAAGAGACTGCAAACATAGGAGATGGAGAGAATAAGCATGGTTTACGTATCAATCAATCTATGAAGACAAATAATCCTGATTCTACTCCAATTAATCATAATAATAATAGTAATAATAATAATAACAATAGTAATAGTGTTCATACTATGAATTTTCCAAGCCCAGCGAAATTAACCACCCAACTTCTTCCATCAAGATATACCAGTCGACGTAAAACTTCATGTGCTGAAATGGTAACTGAAGAACATTTTCATCAGAAGAAATCTGTTCACAGTTCACCAACTCATAATCACCATCATCACCATCAAGAGATTAAACGGATCACTCCGTATCCATCGTCTAGTGAGTTATTCTATTTGGTTTATTATCATTATTATTATTATTTTAATTATTAATATGAGATATATTTTAAATTATTGTGTTTCCCCGTCTTTGGAGGATTTCTAATGTGAACCGAAGTGTCCCGTGACTCTGTTAACGTGTCTCCACTAAGTAGAGATGCTTTGGCGATTTCTCAGCGTTATTTGATTGATATGAAGTGTCTGTACCAGGTGCCAATAAAGAATATCAATAATAATGGCTTTATTGTGAACAGCGTTTACGTAATGTCCCTGAAATCCATTCCATGAACCCCTGGATGCAGTCCAAGTGGATTAATAGGTCTACGAGCTAGCTCATCTTGTAACTGGAAGGTCCTGAGTTCTAACCCCCCCTCCTTGGTGTGGATGCGTACTGCTGAAGCGTAGTCCGAAGCTAGGACGAAATACGCAGCGGTCCAGTATTCCCTGACTGGTTTTCCAATGGTCCGTTAACTGATGTCAGCTTATCATGATGAAATCTCTGCAAGCCAAGACTTGTAAAGGTATTAGTCATTACCTCTGGTTTGATTAGTATTCACACAGGAAGATGATGTCGAACGAACAGTCATATATATATATATATATATAGTGAGCTCAACATCCTCCCCCAGCCGTAAGTGAAGATTATAGACGATGACAATTTGGTTATCGATTGTGTCTAGTAGTGCTCAGTGTCCATCATGTTGAACTATTAATTCAAAAGTGTCTTGTTCAAAAACTCTTAATATATCTATGTAGTTCAAATGAACTGTCGTCAAGATTTGACAGAATAGTTCTAAAATATTTGGGCGCCGAGTAAGTAGTAGACATTTGTAAAAATTTATATTTGTAAGATCTCAGCGAGATTGAAATGAGTAATTCCAACGTTTCGTTTAGCAATCTGGTCCGAACTTCTTCAGGGAAATTAATCGAAATTAACATAACAGAGGTTTATATATAAAAGGAACATCACTTGTTTTTAAAAACTTTGTCCAATCATGAGTCATTCAACAAGTGTAATAAACAAAATTTTATGAGCTGTGATCAAAATTTGACCTCGGACTTACAAATATTGGTCTACCTTTGTTAAATACTTTAAACAGAGTGTGTATGTGTAGGTGTGGGCAAACAATTGTAAAACATTTCATAACGTCTCCATAAGAAGATTTGGATATCTATGTAGTGACAATCTCAACTTCATTGACTTTGAAAAGGCCTTCGACAGCGTCGATCGAGGGGTGCTTTGGCAACTACTTCGCTACTCCAGGGTGCTATCGACAATTATACAGCTCATTGAACAGTTGTACGACAATGCTGCATGCCAAGTAATCCACAGCGGGAAACTTACGAAATGAAGACGGGAGTAAGACAAGCTGGCTGCCTATTATCGCCAATGATTCTCCTGATTGATGGCGGTAGAACGTATAATGCGACAGACAGGGGCGGGCAATAAGGAAACAATCATAAAGTGGACTCACACAAAAAAACTTGGAGGATCTGGACTTCGCCGATGATATATGTCTGATTTCCTAAAAACTGGAAGATATGCAAGTGAAAAGCAACAAGTTGGCAGAAGAAGCATCAAAGATAGCATGGACTTCAGGTGAACATAGAGAAAACAGAGGTGATGGAGATTCCTGGGCAACACCACCAACAGCAACAGCAACAACAACAGACAACAATCAGTATAAATGGTAGGAAGCATCGTTTCAACTACAGGCGGAACTGACGAGGATATCAAAGCAAGAACTGAAAAAGCAAAACAAGTTTTCATTACTTTCAAGTCTGCGTGGAGGTCAACAGCAATCAGTGTCAAAAATAAGACTCGGATTTTCAACTACAATGTGAAGTCAGTCAGTGCTACTATACGAATCAGAGACTTGGTGCGTCATAAAGAGTATCTCAAACAATCTACAGGCCTTCATCAACAGATGTCTTCGCTCAATACTCAAGATCAGATGTCCGGTCAGAAAAGATCAGCAACAGAGATCTCTGGCAATGAGCGAACCAATACAGCAGGAACCGATTGTGCAATAAATAAGCAGGAAGAAATGGAGATGGATTGGCTGGTCATACTCTGAGGAAACCATCAAGTGACATCATTAGACAAGCCATTGCTCGAGTGGAACCCGGCCGAAAAGGGAGGTGTGAGTTGGTCGTCAGTGCGTGGGTGACTTGGAGGAGGTCATGTGAAGAGGAGATGAAAATGTGTGGGCAGACTTGGAGCGAGGTGAAGACTCTAGCAGAGAATCGAACGCAATGGAGATGCGCGGCTAAAGCTCTATGTTTCTCTAGGAATTAAAGGAAGTAATAATAATAATAATCGCACAAATCAAATCAACGCGTGATGTACTAGTATCAGCACAATGATATGCAGTTTAGGAGGAGAAAAATGGAAAATAACTGCAAAGCTAGTCGGAACATCTAAAAAAGTATAAATAGTCTCAAGAGAAAGTTTGTAGGGATCTGATTTGTTTCAAGGTTGATCACGGATTGATATCAGTTTGAGAACCATTGAAAACCAGCCGTAGAATGCTGGAAAGTTGTTTATCCCTGTTAATCTGGGTCTGACTTATAGGCAGTAAGCATCCCCCGCTAGGATTCGAATCCAGGACCTTCTGGTTACAAGTCAAGCTCGCTGACCATTCCAGGCACTAGGATGCGACTCAATGGAGACAGATCATGAATTTTAACTTCTACCAGCTCGTTGATTTTAGGGAAACTGCCGCTAGCCAATGTCACTACTGGCGGTGAGTATTTGTCCTCAGTTCCGACTGGATGAACTCCACAGGTTACAGCTTCTCACTAGAACTTGAGGCAACTTCATCCAGTAGCCAGTTACTAGCGCGGATTAGATTAATTTTCAAGATTTCATCATAAGCTGACATTGGTTAGAGAACCATAGGAACATATGGGAGTACTAGACAGCAGTTTTGCCAGCCAAGTTTGGGACTCTTCATCAGTAAGCACCCACATCATGAGGTTCAAACCTAGGACCTTCTGATTACAAGGCCAGCGAGCTCGTAGATCATTTAGCCATTCGGATGCAATCCAATGGCCAACCCATGAATTCTAACTTTCTATCAATTCACAACATATCGCGATTACTAACCAATGTCTTCGGCGAGTATTTGTCCTGACACCCACCCAACCTGCTGCTCCCTACTGGTCATGATTTCCCACTAGAATCCAGGTAACTACTTATCTGAATAGGGCCAGTTGCTAGTGAGCATCTCATCCTCCCCCCCGGCAGTTCTATCCTGGAACACCTGATCGAGTCTGGACAGCAAGCTAACCTACACAGGAACTTCAAAGTTATCCATAGAATACGTGGGAATCTCCCTGAAAGAGTAGGAATCAAACTTCTTCAAAACTTCAGGAACAATGGAAACTCACATGCTAAATCCTAAAATTCTACATTCCAAAGAAGTTTGTTCAGTCATTAAATAAATCTACAATGGACCTGCTCTGTCTTAACTGTTGATATGTAATTTATGTTTTTTGTTTCTCAGTTGTATAGTATTTTCTCACCCCCCCCCACCCCTTATTACCATTGTCATTAACTTTATCGTTGTCCAATTTTATTTGGATTCTACTCAACCGACACAATTATATTGCGTCACTCAACTTTATTTTGAAAAATTTACAATTCTAATGACTGATTAAAAATGCCCATTAAAATTTTACAAAGATTGGAGACGGAACAAAGAGTACCCTTTTCGATAACTCCTTCATCATCAGGTTCTACAATTATATATACATTATAATGAATGAATGAATTAGTCTTATGAACGACATTAATGTTCTTTAAATAACATCGAATCAATAATATTGATAAATTACAGCTGAACAACACCAACATAAAATAAACTGAATGTCAGAAGAATTCGGAAAGGTAATGGCACAAATTCATGAGTTTATAGTTTCTACTGAGGGCCAGAGCAGTAGTAGAGGCTGGCTGGGCTTGTTTCTTTTGAACACAGAGCACTGGTTGTTTGAAGCGAATTGCATTAGCCTCTGCTGTTCGGAGCATGCGGTGCTTCGACGATTTTGGTAATTTGTTAGGCACCCGGTATATTATATATAGAGAAGGATTCTTCTACGCTGGCTGGCTTTGTGACTGGTTTGCACCAGATGGTCTAATATCGAGTTGTTAATAGTTTTAACTACACCTTTACTTAGCCATAGTGGGATATGTTCTCGAGTGAGCACGAAAAATCAAGTTCCTAGAGCAGCGGCCAATATAAGTCGCTCCACAAGCAGCGCAGTTGAATTGATAGATACAATTAGAAGTGACTAGCTAGTCTAGGTACTTCATCTTTCAGTCGAGGTAGCACCATCGGTCGTGTAGAGAATAATACGTGTACTATTATCTTTCATAATTCTTCTGACATTCAGCTTATTTTATGTTGATGCTGTTCAGCTGTTGTAATCTATCAATATTACTGATTCGATGTTATTTGAACAGCAACATTAATGTTGTTCATAAGACTAATTCATTCATTCATTATAATGTATATATAATTGTAGAGCCTGATGATGAAGGAGTTATCGAAAAGGGTACTCTTTGTTCCGTGTCCATTCTTTTGAAAATTCTCATGACACATCTTTGGAAATATTTATTTTGTTGCTAAGGTAATTTAATAAATATACATATATACATATAATTTTTCGAATAGACAGCTTGAGAATGATATCGCCGAAAAGAAGAGTAACTCCTCGCTGAGTGTCTTTTCTTTGATATACAGCTCAATAAGGATTTTCAAGTCCTCTAAACTGACTGATGTCAAACTTGAAAGTAGAAATATTTCGATTAGGTCATCCAGGAGGGATTTTTCCAAAGAATCACTTCATTACAAGTTACACTTCACCTTAATTCATCCTTATTATTATCATTATTGTTCCCTTGGGTTCCTGGTGGAACATAGGGCTTCAACTACACGTCTCCACTTGCTTCTGTCTTCTGTTGTACTTTTCATTTGCATCCATTTTAGTCCATACTGT